ATGAACATTAACAGGATAATAAAGGAATAGTATAAATAACTATATGCCCACAAATTTGACAACCTAGATGGCATGGGCCAATTTCCTGAAAGACACCATCTGCCAAAACTCAAGGAAAAATAGACTGTGTGAATGGTCCTACATCTATCAAAGAAATTGAATCAACAATTAAATAATCTTCAGAAAAAGACAGCACCAGTTACAGATGGGTTTGCTGGTGAACTATACCAAATATTTAAAGAAGAAATTATGCCAATCCTCTATAATCTCTTGTAGAAGATAGAAGTACAGGGAATACTTTGTAACTCATTTTCTGATGCCAACATTACCCTACCAAACTAAAGGCATCAGAAGAAAAAGAAACTACACACCCATATCTCTCATAAACTCAGATGCGAAAATCCTCTACAAAATATTAGCAAATTGAATTCTACGTGTATAAGCAGAATTATACACCATTCTGAGTGGAGCTTATCCCATGTATGCAATGCTAAAATCTAGTCCAAAATTCAAAAATTAATTCATGTAATTCATCACATCAAGGAGCTAAAAAAAAAAATCACATGATCAAATCAATAAATACAGAAAAGGCATTTGACAAAATCCAATACCACATCATGATAAAAACACTTAGTATGCTAGGAGTGAAGGTAACTTTGTCAATAGGTTAAAGAGCATCTACAAAAATACTACAGCTAATGTCATACTTTATGAGAAACTCAAAGCTTTCCTATTATGATTAGAAACAATACAAAAATGTCCCCTCTCACCACTTCTTTTTAACAGTGTACTAGAAGTCCTAGCTAATACAATAAGACAAAAAAGAATATAAAAGGTATACAGATTTGGAAGGAAAAAATAAAGCTGTCTTTGGATGCGTATTACATGATTTGTCTTTATAGAAAATAAGAAATAATACTTTTTTTGTAAAAAACCTTCTAGAACTAACTAGCAACTATATGAATAGAAAAGTTGCAGGAAAGAAGGTTAATATAAAAAGTCAATTGTTTCCCTATATACCATAAATAAACAAGGGGAATTTGAAATTGAAAACAAAATGCATCAAATTAGGTCCCTCAAAAATGAAATACTTACATATAAATGTAACAAAATATATATATTTTATATATATATATATAAGTTCTATATGTAGAAAATGATAAAACTTTGACAAAATATATCAAAGAATAAATAAATGGAGATATTCGGTGTTTATGGATAGGAATACTCAATTTTGTCAAGGTATCAGTTCTTCCCAATGTGCTCTATAGATTCAATGCAATGCAAATAAAAACGCCAGCAAGTTATTTTGTGGATATCAACAAACTCATTCTAAAGTTATAGGAAGGCAAAAGACACACAACAGCCAACACAATACTAAGGGAGAAGTACAGACTGAGAGAATTGACACTACCTAACCTCAAGACTTAACCATAAAGCTACAGTAGTCAAGACAGTGTGATATTGATGAATGAATAGACAAAAGGATAATGGAACAGAATAGAGAGCCTAAAAATAGATCCACAAAAATGTAGTCTAGTTGCCTTTGACAATGGAGCAAAGGCAATACGATCTTTTCAACAAATCACTCTGTAATACAGACCTTACAGCCTTTATAAAAATTAACTCAAAGTAGATCATAGATCTAAATGTAAAATACAAAACCGTAAAGCTTTTAGAAGATAACATAAGAGAAAATCTAGATGATCTTGGGTATGGTGATAACTTTTCAGATATGTTACCAAAGTCTTCATCCATGAAGGAAATAATTGAAAAGCTAGATTTCATTAAAAGGAAAAACTTCTCCTCTGTGAAAGACAATGTCAAAAAAATGAGAAGACAAGCCACAGATTGGGAGAAAATATTTTCAAAAGACACATATAATAAGGGATTGTTATCCAAAATATACAGCAAACTCTTTAAAACTCAACAGAAGATGAGATAACAAACAACCAGGTTCAAAAATGAGCCAAAGACCTTCACAGACACCTCACCAGAGAAGACATACAAGTGGAAAATAACATGAAAAGGTGCTCCATATCATATGTTATCAAGGAAATGCAAATTAATTGTAATATGGTATCCTGGAGTGGATTCTGGAACAGAAAAAGCACATTAGAATGTAGAGTATGGACTTTAGTTCATAATAATACCATATCATTATTGGCTCATTAGCTATAATAAGTGTACAAATTAACACAATAGGTTAATAGTAGGGGAAAGCTGGCATGGAGCTTATAAGAACTCTCTGTACTATCTTCTTAATTTCTCTGTAAGTCTCAAATTGTTCTAAAACAAAAATTTTATCTTTTTTAAAAAAGTAAAAATCATTTCAGACATGAAGACTAAACCTAACAGAATATAAGAACAAATACAGACAAGGAATGGACTGTGAAATAATTTTTAAAAAATAAGATACCACCTCATACCTATTGGAGTGTCCAAAATCCAGAACATTGACAACACCAAGGGTTAGTGAGGATGCGGAACATCAGGAATTCTGATCCATTGCCAGTGGGAATACAAAATGGTACAGCCACTTTGGAAGACAGTTTGGCAATGTCTTACAAAACTTTAAAATGCTCTTACCATGCAATTAAGTAACCATGCTCTTCAATATTTACTCAAAGGAGTTGAAAACCTATTCTATACAGAAACCTGAACACAGATGTTAATAGCAGTTTTATTCATAATGGCCAAAACTTGGAAGCAACTAAGATGTCTTTCAGTAGGTAAATGGATAAATAAAATCTGGTATAGCCAGATAATGGAATATTATTCAGCACTAAAAGGAAATGAGCTATCAAGCCATGAAAAGGCACGGAGAATCCTTAAATGCATATTACTAAGTGAAAGAAGTCAATCTGAAAGGCTAGGTACTGTACAATTCCTATATGACATTCTGGAAAGATAAAACTGTAGAGACAATAGAAAGATCAGTGGTTGCCAGGGGTTGGGAGTGGCATGAGATGAATAGGCAGAGCACAGAGGGTTTTTAGGGCAATGAAAATAAAAATACCTTTTTCCGTTTTATAATGATGGATAACATGTCATTATACATTTGTTCAAACCCATAGGATGTATAAAATGGTCCTAATGTAAGCTATGGACTTTGGGTGATAATGATGTGTCAATGTAGGTTCATCAACTGTAATAAATATATCACTCTGGTGAGAGATGTTGATAATAGGGGAGGGTTATTCCTGTGCGGAGCAGGCGGTATATGGAAAATCTCCATACCTTCTTCTGAAAGTTGCTGGGAACATAAAACTGCTCTTAAAAAATAAAAAGTCTCTTTCTAACAACAACAACAAAAAGCCACTGAGTTAATGTCTGACACCTCTATATATTCAGAGCTCTTCTTGCTCTCCTTTTTTCTAGTAACGGATCCTACCCCCATTCAACAGAGTGGGCATGTTACCCAAATTGGTCCAATCCAATTTCTTCCCTGGGAATAAGGTCAAACTCCTTCTGAACCACTTTATAATGAAATTGTAAGTCAGAGGCTTCCCCTAGCCAGATCACCCAACATCCAGAGAAGCTGCTCTGGGTGAAAAAGCTGGCACCCAAAAAAGAGTGAAGACAAAAGATCTGGCAAGCACTGAAGGCTTCTATGTTCCTGAATCCAGTTGTTACTAAGGCAAGTTTTATCCCAATCATTTGCAGAGTTTGGTTATTTCAGCCAATAAGTTCCACTTTTTAATTTTTTTTTTTTAGATTGACTTGGTCACTTGCAGGGTCTTAATGAATCCACAACAGGCTCCTTAAGGGAGTGTCTTAGTTTATTTTCTGTTGCTATAACAGAATACCACAGACTGGGTAATTTTTAAACAATAGAAATTTGTTTGGCTCACATTTCTGGAAGCTGGGAAGTCTAAGATCTCAGGGCCACATCTGGTGAGAGCCTCTTGCTGTGTCATAACGTAGCAGAAGGCATCACATGGTGAGAGAGAGGGCGAGAGTGCACAAAACAGAGAAACGGGGGCTGAACCTCATCCTTTTATTAGAAGCCCACTCTCGCATTAACTAACCCACTCCCTCCATAATGGAATAATCTGTTCAAGAAGGGAGAACCCTCATAACCTGATCACTTCTTAAAGGCCCCACTTCCCTGTACTGTTATATCGGCAATTAAATTTCAGCATGAGTTTTAGAGGGGGCATTCAAACCATGGCATGAAGTGATGTTTTCATGAGTTTGGTTATATTGTTTTTACACACTACATTGTACCTAGCACAGGACCCTGCAAAGAATAGAAACTCAACAAATAGTTGTCAAAGTAATGATTTTTTAAATTTCCTTTTGAAATTCTGGAATAGTATGTAAGATGTTAATATTAATAAAATTATTATGTGTAGGAAATCATGAGCAAGTTCAGAGTCTCAAGAGATACTCCTACTTAAGTTGCCTGTTTTCCAAAAAATGCACATATTTAAACATGTTATGAACATATTCCTTTTCATTAACAGTCCATTGCCTCCATATAACATATCCTTTATACCTCGTCATAGTGAAAAGTGCTTGATATAAATGTATTCAAATTTATCACATATTAATACACTGCCAATCATATAACAAATAATGTAGATGTGTGTGCTTATAGTACATGTGTGCATGTGTGTGTGTGTGTGTGTCAGTTTAACCAACTTCTTAGAAGGTATATTAATTGCACTTAGAAAACCTGAGATGTAAATCTAACAAAGTAAAAGTTGGCTCCACGGTCTCTTAAACAGGCCCCTTTCTATGAATTCTGTGTGTAACTTGTTCATAAATATGGAAAGTATCTGAAGATTTTCTTTTTACGTGTCTTGATTTCCTTGAAGACTCTGGCACACAGCATGAGATTAAAATAATCTGGCATTGCTGGCTCCTTTGCCCACAAATACCAAGGAATAAATATTAGAATGATGGATTCTCTTTCCCTTGTCAACCATGAATATGTTCCAGCCTGGGGTAAGTTCTAGGGAGAAATGTTAAAATAAACAAATAGAACCAAAGAGTAGCTTTATTCTTTTATTCAAAGTTTATTAAAATACAAGAACAAATTGTATAAGCACACATACCACTCAGCACCCATATGATAGCACTCTTTCTACTGATAATCTCCAAAGCAGTTCATTTTCTGCAACTGAGAAGCACATATGAGTAGCATATGCACGCATGCATTCTCACCACATTTACCCAGGACTCTTAGCATCATGTCCCGAATATTCTCCTTGCCAGGGAGACAAAGATGGGGAGAGGCAAACTAATGTGACTACATCCAACCACTAACTGAGTCGATGACTCTTTCGTCAGTAGTTATCATCCGCACACTGGTCAACTCTGCACATCTCTGTCTCCCTCTTCGGGTGCCCGATTACTTGGGCTAGTGAGTCTGGTGACAATGTGATGCAAAACTAAACAAAACTGGCCAACATTCCCTACCCAATATCATTTCATTGCTTTGGTTATAAAATACTGGATACTTATTTCTTTACATCCCCCAATCCTAACACACATAAAACCCACACTGACCAGTGACATGGGCCTGGAGAAGTCTTGAGAGAATTTTCTTTATTTCCCATCCCCTTCTGTGGGTTTCTTTCATTCATGTGTTTACCTGTTTGCTTTTTCAGGGGAGGGGGAGAAATGGAGGGTTTGAGCCAAAATAGTGACTTCATTAAACATCTGCTGGGTCTTCGAAGTCTCAGTAAATATTGAATAAGCTCCCTGGAGCTCTGCTGTTGCTGCCTAAGACGGGCAGTCAGCCCTGACTTGCATGAGCAGTCTTGTTTGGATATCTGCACATGTTTGCCTTCTATTGGTTCAGACTCACCTTGGAACAGAGCTGGGTCTGTTAAATCTGAGACCTTGCTTCTGGTACTATACACATAGGGCATTAGGAAGTGGCCCGATGTTTTGCTCATCCTAAAGTCACTCAATGACTTGCAGCAGCCTTCAGCCTTCCTTCAGTTGTGAGAAGTTTGTTTTCAAATCTTCCCAGATTTGTAGACCAAGCCCTCAGGGCCTTGTTCTTCCCAGTTAGCAACTTTCTAGCTCTCCCACCCTAGATCCTCTCTTTTCTTAGAGAGCCTCAGGACATGACCAAGATTGTGCCAGTTGCAAAGCAGACATTGGTACTCAAGCCCCATTCCGGAAGTATATATGAAGAGTGGGTTTGGATTCTATTTTTAGAGTGAAGGAGGAAGTTGGAATCTAACTATATATATTTTAACTCTGATTTTTGGCAATACCATTAAGGGGGGAAAAAAAAGAGGCTCCTAAAGTCAAAAGCCTTACTGTCAGTCTCCACTGCTGAGACACATGACATTGGGGATGTTCTGAAAAGCTCTAAATGCTGGTAAAGGTTTTCATTAATCCTTCAGTAGGACAGAAGTCAGTGTCTACATTTTTCCTTTTTCAATGGTCATATGACTCTAATTAAACTTATTTTCCAAACCATCAGTCAGAGGTCGGGTGGAACAAATGTCCAGATTCATCCATCCTCTTATGATTGACATAAAGGGACATCCTGTAAATCAGTCAATCCCTCTTGCTTTGCACATAGCCCACAGGACGTGCTGAGAACACCTTATAATCCACCTTTGGCTTTTCCCAAAGGCATACATATTGTCTCTAACCTGCCCTCTAGAATTTTGTGCAGCAAGGCAGCACCAACATGTGACCTCACGATATTTCATAATTTTTATTTAAGAGCCCAAATAGTAAAATACACTCAGGCAAAATGAAAGACAATAGGCTATTCTTCCCACCTTGATGAGAGAATAAGCACTTCCTGGTTAATGGGAGAAAAAATTAACTAAGCAGACCCCTGGGAAGTTGATATTACCAAAAATCAAGGAGACGTTCTATAAATGAGGTGAAGACACAGGACCAGAGACCCAATGTGAAAAAAGAAAGTCATGTAAGTTAAGTGGCTGTCACTTAGCTATACAAAGCAGGAACAGTTACTAATCTGCCTCTAAGGAGGTCAGTTACATTTTAATAGCTGTATGAAACACTTCTACATTACTATGCAGGCATCTCCATTCATGCCCGTTCAAGAAAATCATTGTTGATCCCACTAATATTTTCACTAAGCAATAAATAAAGTCAGTTTTTGATAGTTCCAAGACATAAGTCTTTCAAACAATAAGTGTTTGAGTAAACCCAGATGCTATGATAATATCTAAATTTTCTTGGAAACTATTTCAATAATAGACAAGCTAATGCAGCTTAAAAGGCCTAACTGATAGCTCCATGTAAACACAGCCTATGGGAGAAACATGATTAGGGAATAAGAAAGAGAACTCAGACTTTTATATATGATATAAATATATCATAGATTTATACTATGATATATAAATAGATATACTTTTCCCTGTGAGACTAAGAACTACAATTCTTCAAAGGAACATACCTTATAAAACACATGATAGGTAGGTGAGTATTGGCAAACTAATAATTTCTCAGCATATCAGCTAAAGCATTGATTTTCCTCTACCTCAAAATAATGAGTTCTTGTTAATTTCATAAAAGAATACACCACAAGAAATCATAAAAATTCATGTTGCGATAAATAGGTTACATAATTACAGACTTAACCCTGATAACACCAAGGCATTCTACATAGTGTAGGATTCCTGAGCTTTGTCCATTCATTTTCTCCATTGGCCCTTCCACAGCCTTTCTTCCAGAAAATTCTTACATGTTCTATTGAACATCTTCCTCCCTGGTAGCCTATGTCTTTCTATGTTTCCTTCCTCTGCTTCATTTCTCCATTGGGCTATCCTCAGGGAGAATTGTCTGCACACACATAAACGACCTCCTTCTTTAAAAATATAGCACAACTGGGTGATTTTTCCATCATCCTTTTCCCCAGTTGACTAGCACTGCCTCAGCCAAATCTCATCCCCCCACCGGCTTATCTGACATACTGTTACATTATCGTACATATAGAACAAAGGGGAAGCTTAAGGACAACAGTGTGAATGTGCTGCAACTGGGTTCTTTATGTTACTGCTTTAGCGTCCCACATAAATCTCAACACCATTTTGAGGTTAAAAATCAATGGGGGCCGAGATAAGCCTTGAATGTAGAGGTTAACAACTGAGGAATCGGAAATGATTATTCTCAGTATGATTTTCCAGCAACTCATTAGATAACATCACATTTTTGAAATTTGTTTTGTTTCTTTGTGGGTGGTTTTTATAGAATTTAAAACATTAGAAAGCTGATGTTGCCATGAAAAATCAGTCACAACGGAGCTTTAATATTTACACAATATACCAGCTAGTGACGTGACTGATATGTTGCTCCCATTTAAAAAATAAAATAAAATAAAATACTTTTGGTTCTTGCACACCTAGTTCTCATGCTTTTCTCATTTCAGACAACTAGTTTAAGAATGTATTTTCAACTTTAGTTTTTATCTATCCATTTTATTTTTTTATTCAGTTATTAATGGAATGGACAAAAGATCCTTTGACTGTACCATCAAATACAATCATATACTATGATTTCATAATAGTCTCACATTTACAAAAGAAATTATGATATGAAATTGGTTGGTCTATTCTTTTGGGGGCTATAATCTTAAATATTACTTATGGGTAAAACTATAGTGTCTATTTTAAAAAGAAAAAATATATATATTAAAATAGCATTATAATCATATACTATAGGGACTTTAGATACTGAGGAACTAAACCTCAGCTAATGGGACCAAAGGAAGATCCAAGTCCAAATTCAAAGGTCAATGGAAATTCCATGATACTGGGGGTTGCCTTATAACAAAGCCTCCAAAATGGTTGATCGGAATTATCTCTAACTTCCTCTTCCTCTATTTTGCAATGGAAGTAAGCTTGTTTGTTTGCACCTATTCTTCATTATAGCTCACCTACTGTGGGAGGAAATCAAGGCTGTGCTGAATGGCCATGGTACCTACCTCCCACAGCAGCTGTGTGTGTGTGTGTGTGTGTGTATATATATATATATATTTGTATGTATGTATGTATGTATGTATAATTTCTTCAACGCAGCATTCAGAGAGAACACTGCTATAGAGACTGAGATTAGGAATGACTTGGGCCACATAGTAATTGTAGGAATGGAGAGGAAAACACCAGCACCACCAGACCCACTGGTTTTCCTTTAATAGGTATCATGGGGTATAATTAACCCACTGAAAATATACATACCACATACATGGTTCAAAAATAATTATTTCCAAAAGAAACCCCTCACAATTACAAATATTTAAGTATTTCTTTTCTTTCCATCTCCCCTTTCTCCTCTCTAGGAGCATATGACAAATATATTGTTTTTATATGTGTATTCTCTGTGCCACCTTTAGTTGAGCTCCTTCTTCTTTTTCTGGCCTTGTGTATGTTTCTACGTTTTTGTGGTTAAGAAATGAGTCCCACTCTCTACAGCTTAAGGTTAGAAACTGTGAATTTTCTAAATCTTTCTGCCTCCTGCTCCCTAGCTTGTCGATTTCATTTCTTTTTTAGCACTCTCTCCACCTGCCTAGAAATTAACCATCAGATTACAGATGATCATTCTAACCTCCCAGATTGAGGGATCATTCTTGGTATCTAAAATATAACAATAAATTCTGGGATATAAAGACTGAGAGCACTACATGGCTAGAAACTGGAACATCAGAAATGACTCTAACATAAGGTCTAACCTTAACACCAACGTCTAATCACACCACCAACGTCTAACCACATGGCCTGGGCTCAAGAACTTGTAACATTTGGGAATTTTCCAACTGGGCTCCATCCATGCCAAATAGAGCCAAGGCAATACCCTTTATCTTAACGTAGACAGTGGCTTCCCTAATGTAGTAATTATTCAGGTAAGCCTTTTCCTCTGGTCTCAAAGCATGCATCAGCTGTATCAGTTCCTTCTCAATGCAGAATGAACACACGCTGAATCAGGGTTTCTTCCTCTCCGTCTTGGGATCTTTTCACATAGGGCTTTTTACTAAGAAGAGAGGTGATACGGCTACTACTTAGCCCAATGCCATTTGAGTAGTGAAAGAAGTATGGAGCTGTTAGAGATTCATGTTCTTCCAATAAACTCCTGTCTTTCAGTAAGCCAATAGGGCTCTGTTGAAATAGGGATTCAGTTCTTAATGTCCTTGCCTTTATACAACTTTTTAAAACAATAAGCTCTCTTATAATCATACCTTTAACCAGCTAATCTAGTTTTCTTTCATCTCTTGCTGAAATTTTTCTCCAGCCAATGCCGGACTTCTTGAAGGTTGTAGGAGAAGGGGCCCTTTCCTCCCAGATAAGCGATTTTCTGTCTCTGCACAATGCACACACGTTCAAAGGCTACCCCGTAAGCTATGTTGGCGTTATTGTCCATGCGGTCAGCCACAACTCGGCACTGGGGCGGCAAGGAGAAACGCTCCAGAAGCTGCTGGGCTGCTGCACATCGATCTTCCTGGTTCTGGTGCTTCTTCACCTCAAAAGACAAAGAGGAGTCCCCAGGTATCGCCCAGCCGTCTGATGGATGAGCCTCATCAATGTAGACCAGCAGGAAGTCGGCCACTGAGGAGAACTCTTCCACCAGTTTGCGGAAGGCTGGCAGCTGGCTCGTGAAAGGAGGTCAAGTGGCTGAACCAAAGTTGACCACTAGTGGGCGCTCAGGGCTAGCAAAGTCAAGGAGGTGGCATGCGGCTCCCTCAGCTATCTTCTCCTGGGTACCGTGGCCACTGTTGTCACCTCCTTCTGCACTGGAGACATGCACCACACTGGAATTGGGGGCATCCTCACCCAATTTCACCTGAGGGTAAAACAAAAAAAAAAAAAGAAGGTGAGAACATCACATTAAACACATTGCCACTTCAATTCACATTAAATAGTTACAATTGGCTCTAACACAGTATGGTATTTCCTTCAGACTATGTGGTAAACATGTATCGATTTGAGTAAAGAGGCTTCATGGCAGGTAATGTAAAGAATGGCCCAAAAGAGAATAAAAGTCTTTTTTATTCTGTATAGTCACTGAAGGTAATTATTTTCATCACTGAAGGCACTGGAGTTAACTCTTTTTATAATTAAGCCAAGGCTGGTATTCTTTACTATCTTTATTTTGCTGTCAATTCTTAACATGCATTCGATAACAAATAATTAATTGACTTCATTTTAAAAGTTAGAAGCAAATGGTCTACTTTAAGACAAATTATCAGGGTCTTGGGACATGGTGCCTCCTTCTGAATTCTGAAACACCAGGCAGGACCTTTATTTTCTTGCATGATACTAAGTCATTTAATCTCAACCAATGGCCAATGATACCAGTGGGCTCTATTCTTGGCCAGACCTAGAAAACCTGAGGTCTACCATTTATAAGAAGGGTTACTTCCACTTAACCTCTTTAGTGATTCAGTTTTCCCACCCGTAAAATGGAAATAATAATGCCTGTCTTCCACATATGGCAACTGGAGGGCAACAAGAGAAAAAGAGCTCTTTGTGCACTGTAATTATATGGGTGTGTGTTGCCCTTATCAGATGCTACCCCACCATGTGAAATAAAACATCATCATTCTTGGGCAATTTTGTGTTTAAAATATATATCTATCCTGAGCAAAGCTTTGAACTCTCCTCAATATGGCATCCTCCCTGGAGGCTCCTACTGACACTGCTTACAAGGTGGTTCTTACCACTCCAAACTTACAATTTCCATTAAAAAAAAAAAAAGACAAAAAGAAACAAAAATGGTTACTCCAGAGTTCTATATTAATTTCTCATTTTCCAAGTGTGCTTGTTTCCCTCTCTTTATCTAGGCAGTCACACTAAAAAGTACTTTTCTACCCCACAATTTGTTAACAAGCTCCTCTGAATCATAAAATATTGGGGCAGAAGAGGTAGAGAAAAAAATTGTTTCATGTGTTCCCTTTGCACATGGTTTAAATAGTTGAAAACAGAATGAAGGAAAGTTTGCAGCCTTTGAATCTGTAAATTGATAATAAAAAGCAGGCAACAGTAAAAGAGCCAATTACTTCAGTTTGAATTAATACAGTTGGATCTTCCTTGGAATGGTTTAATCAAAGCCCATAACATTAGGGACAACTTACGACAGTACAATTGATTTTTATATACTATCCTTAATATTATAATATACTTCCAACTTGATCGACTTATTTCCCTCATATACATATAGCCACACATAATGTTAATGTTAATTGAAGTCACTTAGAAGTGAATTGTTAAAGATGTAACAATCCAAACTGATATAACACACTCAAGGGCTTTTAGTCAGAAGCTTCTATCTACTGTTAATGCATAACTCATTTTAACTGTAGAGAAAGAATTAAAGTTCTTTCTCTCCCTTCTAAAAAATCCTAGCAGGGCATGTTTGAAATAAGCATTATTAGTGTTCTAAGAGAAATCTTATGGTAATAATCTTCCTTCTTAGAAAGGAAGATGCTGGTGTGATTTAAGTAAGTACATTTTGTTTTTTAGTCACCGCCACAGAGAAAATTATTTTACTTATACTAACTTTCTTGGTTAATTTGCAAGTGACACTAGATGGAGAAATCTAATAAGCACATTTAGCTGGATTCTTTCATATGAACTACACTAGTCTTTAAGGCGTGAAAATATACATCAAATTTAAAGATATACATGTTGAAGGTATTACAAACATTTTAATCCATGGATTATTTTTGTACTTCCTTTTTTATAGATCTAGGTAGTGGGTAGCAGCCTCTTCTCTTTAGATCTTTCCCATTTGAAATAATAGTAATGATTCTAGAAGGGATGTTTTAACAATATCATGTGTACTGTGTACCTCAACATACTGTGATAAGAAGACCTAAATGCATTCAGATTAGTCTGTTATAGTGACTTCCTGTTAAGTAAGCAACCTGTACACTTGTAGGTTCTTGATAGGTAAAAACATGCATCTGCATTTTGGAATCATTTTTGAAACCTATGAACAATTATGTGGCCTTGATAAATGGGCCTCTAACCCCCGACTCATCCAAGCAGACCTGTTGATCCTTTCATTATGTCTGATTATTCAACTGAATAATCTAATCTGATGCTTTTGTCACAGGAGGCTCTCTTGTTACCTGCAGTAAATTTTCTTGGGAAGTTAATGCACCCTCTCTTTCTTAGAGACAATGTATAGTTCAGCTGCAGAATTCTTTCCAAAACACAGACTAATTTGCCTTGGGAAATTTAGAGTAAGTATAACACTGTCACTCTAAAATGAAAAATTAGGAAAGTTACCAAATTCATAATGCTCTTTATGTGGGGGATTTAGCATTTTGTTAGGATTAGGGTTAGACAGGGAAGTATTTATTTTATTGAATGAATGCTAGTTGTTATAATCCTAGGTCAGTGAAGAATTTTACACATAATCATCACCCTGATCTGCAATGAACATAATCATATTTGGGTGATGGATAAGCTCACTGAGGCAGATAAATTTAGAAATACAAATCCTGGAGCTGTCTCGTAGAGTACTACCATAATCACCACTCAGTGTCATTGATCCGTCCTTGATTGTCGCATCTGGTCAGTGCACAAAACAAATGTGGCCTATTCTTTTTATTTTTTTTGAGCAGCCAGGGTCCCTTACTGAATCTTATAATGTCATAAATGGATATTCTTATTCATGAAGGTGCCTAGACAAGAGAAAATGCATAGGTAAAATTAATATTATTAATAAAACTAAGAAGGAAAAACACACACCCACCATCCATAAATCCAAATGTGAGTAGACCAGTAGTCTGCTTTTATAAGCTTCATATACTAGTCATAAAATGTGTCCATCTTTGCTAAAACCTGATGGAGGACAATTTAGCTAAAATAAAGAAAAAAACACTTTTTTTAGATATGGAAGTTTCCTTTAAACTAAAAGAAAATATTCTAAAAGGATATTACTGTTCATTCTCATCTCCCCATTTGGTCACCATAAAAATTAAATTCCTAACAGACCAGAGTTTCAAATGGAGAACTTCTTGGTTTGCTGGGTTATGCGCCCTGCTGAGACAGGCTGGGAGAATCACCATTGTCTTCGATGATGGAAGATTGTTTGCTCTCCCCAGGAGCAAAGCATTCCTTGACACAGAGCCAAAATGATGAAGAAAATAAAGTCGGTCCCATAATAACATTTAGGCTGCAGGAAAGAAGCTCAACAAAAACAAGTTATCCCTTGGTACTCCCAAACTTTGTTTTAATTTCCCACAGTGGCACAGAAAGTCTGGCCACAAGTTACCTATCATCTTAATTTCTTCTTCTTAGAGGGTTTGTGTTTGGTTTTTGTCCTTAATGAGACATATTTGCCAAAGAGGCATTCAAAAGGCATTTTTTACTCTTGCGGAAGAGTAATTAGGTCGGTACCTCTTTCCCTGCCAGCATTAGCTGCTCTAAAGAGAACCCTGCCCAGTATTTAATGCCCAAACACAAGAAGCATCATTTCCACTAATTGGTCTTGAAGTTCCGATGTTCCCAAAGGGTCCCTTTATTCTGCAAGGATCAGAAAGGACACACGTAAAATGTGATATTGTCATCGCTGACTTTTATCTCTCTCATCTGCACTATTACAGTGGTCCTTTCTTACGATTTTGCAAGCAACATCAACACAACACCAACAAAGGAGGTAAATAAAGGATTTGCATTTTTACAACAGAAGACATCTCTGGGCCAAGTTCAGATGTTGCAATGGACATCTTTATAAGTATGAACATGAACATAAACATATAGCATATATAAAAATTTGATTCCCTTGATGATGTTCAGTGTTCAGTGCATGGGGAAAAAGGAAATGCCACTTTAGCATGTGGACTGTGAAATGCAGGGCAAGGGAGAGAAAAGAACCATTCATCAAGTAGAAGCAGAAAATACAGCATATACTACTAACCTTGTTTTTTGTTTTGGAGTTTTATTTCTTTTTCTTTTCCACAGCCTGAGAAAGGCTTGTGGACAATATATCACATAATCTCATAATAGAATGTAAAGCAAATTATAAAAATGAAGGGTGGGTGTGTGGCAGCAGAATTTTCACACATACTTCTTGCTGTCCAAAGCCCTGAAAATAGCTTTATTAACTATCAGGAAGTTTCAAATTCTTTGACATAATGACCAGGCTACATCAATGTCCTTAGAAACATGGCCAAACTATCATTAAGCAGAGATTTAACCATTTATATTCAGATTGGCCAAATAAATCAGAGTTGAAGAATAGGCTACGTACTCCTTCCTCTGAGCTCAATTCCCTTTTAGCTATTCTCTTTTTAATTTGTACCTTGAAAAATGTAGCTCTAAGCTCTATCATTCCCCAATGTTTTATCCAAGTGATGGACAAGCTCTGGCTGTGGCCTGCTTTGTGTTCTTTGGGGACTGTTTCTCTCTTAAAAGGGCCATTTTCCATTGTGGAAACTAGTGTCAAAGGCTTGAGGTGAATGAAGAGGAGGAGGAGAATGTTAAAGAGACCCTTTCAAAACCAAAATTATATGTTCAAATGAATATGTTTTCTGTACCTCTGCAATATTAACCGTGCAGAAGCTAAACTGCCTGTCAGCATCTATACTGTGTGTTTACTTTTACACTTCATTTAGGTAAGAGCCAGGCTCCCAGACAGAGCAGTTTGCTTATTGGTTGCATGTTTTTAGTCTCTGAGCACCAACACAAGGATATACTGTTCAGATGCAATGACACTGACTGAAGAAACTTAAATAACAAACACCTTTTATTCACCTCAGGGTCTCTCACCAGTGTCTATAGACTTTCCTTTCAATCAAAATTGTGCACAGAATCCATCTCTTACTAAACTCACATTATCTTTAAAGGCTTCTCCATAAAGTTAATTCAAATCCTTTTCAACCTTTGAAGAAAGGGTTTATTTAAAAAAATAAAAAGAAAAGAAAAATTTCTTTTGTTCTTTCTTTATTTCTGTGTTGTCCCTCGTGGAGGCAAAGCACAGGGATAATACTTTTACTCCACTTTCTCTACGTATGTTTCTGGGCATCTGACATGCAGCAACAAGGAGAATTAATAACGGCAAATCACATGTCTAGTTTTATCACGTGGGCACACACCCCTCTCATCCTGGAAAACTTCACTTCTAGGGATGGGCAGCCTTGAAATAATGCAAATCAGGATTATGAAATAGTGTGATGCCATCTCAAACAGAACCTCCTACAATGTCTCTAGAAATGACTACACCCAAAGACAGTGGCACAGATGACAACAGCATTCAGAGAAGTGATTCAACCTGGTTGAGAGGTTCTGAGTGACCCTCAAATGCCACCAGAGAAACCACTACCCTTGCCATACTTGAAGACAGAAAGAGACCATCATTCAGTTCCAGCTGTGTTCATAATGTTTCCATTTATCACACACCCACTCCAGTCTTGTCTTTGGACGTGTGGGTCCTGAGGTTGCTTCTACACATGGTAGCTATTACATAAATCATCAAAAGCAAACGTAATAACATCAGTCGTGAACTTGGTGACTAATCAAATCAGTAGGCAGGGACAAAAAAATACAGAAGAGGAATATACAAACCATATGCAAAAAGAAAAAACAAATCACTCATCCTTCCCAATTTCCTGGAATAGGAATAACAACATACTGCAACACAATGGAACACTATACATTAGTGAAAAAAACAATAAACTTTATTAAAGAGGTATTTGTTTGTTTTTCCATTTTATGTTCAATAAGCTGCTTAATGGGAGAAATAACCTCACTTAATATTTGTGGGTAACATTACAGCCCCCATTGTTTATGTGAGAGATGACTTTTTTCATGTTTTTCTTAATGAAACATGACATTTATATAAGAAATCTATGTATATAAGTAAAATTCTTCCAATAAGTGCTTTGTTTTTGTTTTTTTTTACTTTATAGACAAAAGGCAATTGTCCTTCCAAAAAGTAAGAGTTTAATATACTGAGATCAAACCACTGATATTTCCATGGTGTCTGCTAACACATATAAAATAGGATGTTGAACAGGGAACTTCCTAATTAATGTCTGATATACTTGTGTACTCCTCCACCTGCCTCCAAATTGCCTTCCTCTAAAACAAACCGTAAAAACTTCCCATTCAATGTATACTTTTGTGGAAATGAAATGATGAATTCAATATCTACTTCTCTAGATCTCCCATCCTCTCTGACATGCACAATATAAACGAGTTTTTACTGTTAGAACTTTGAGCACCAATTCATATTCTCATAGAAGAATTTCCATCTCCTAAAAAGAGCTCTTGCTATTCACATTTTTAACAACAATAAACACAAACTCTCTTTAGGTTACTATCGGTCATAAAGACATGTATTGTGGTAAAATTTTCCTAGTTCACAGCAGATATTTTCTTCTCGAACATCTGATTTTCAGAAGAACAATCCTGTCCTGAATTCTTTGTAATTTTACAAGTTACTTCTTCTCTTTTCCTGGTGCATGGTTTTATTTTTCTAGTGTTTATTTATGGAGGACGCATTCCCTTGTGCCTCTACTATTTCAAGTTCCCCGTCTCTGGTTCTAAGGTGCTGCCTGCCTAAAGCATACCACTTCACTGAACACCTGGCTTCTATATTCCTCTAAAATACAGATGTACAGTTCCTTTTTCTGGCATCTTGGGCAAGGTCCCACTACACTTTTAGGGAAACCAAGATTGTCTATTTTGATAACTACTTTTGCCAAAATAGTTCATTCTTCTCAAGCCTGGTTGAGGGGGTGGAGGGGAACTTTAGAAGTCATATGGGCATAGCAGGTAGCAGAAAACTGACAAAAGACCAGGGCCAAAATCTTCCTCTATGCCCCTGAAGATCTTAGTTGAAAATGCTCTACCAACATCTCTAACCAGCAAAAAGCCTGGAACATAGTATTTTGCATTTAGAAACTAAGATCACCACCTCTGATTTTGAGAGAGCAGCCCCTGGACGCTACCTGACCAGGTAAGGGAGACCACTGCCCTAATGCTCATAACAGCTCTGAGATTTCATGAAGCATAGACCCATCATCTCTTTCTAGGGCAACATATTTTATTTTTGAGAAACAAAGTAAAGGAGGCTCCCCTTGCAAATGCTGGATTTCTGACAGCTAGTTTTCAGATTTTTCTTTTGCAAGTTGGTATCTAGTAACTCAGGACTCACTGCCTGAAAATCGCTTCCAAAGGGTTCAAGTTTGAATCAATGTAGAGGAGGTGGTACACCGCTGCTTGCTTTCATTAACTCTTACCTCGACCAGAAACCAAGCAGCTATGATGCCCAATCACACTTTCTATGACCATTTTCTTATTTTGTCAGCTGTTTGAGAGTTTTGAGTAGCATTTCCCATTTCTTGCTTTTCAGTACCCACCCCTCGAGCATACTTCCTCAGTGTACCTCACTTGATAGCCTCGTATCAAGCAAAAAATCAAAATTCCAGTTTATGGCAAGAGCAGAATAAATGCAGCAGTCTCCTCTTCCCGATCATTTTTCTGACTTTTCCCAAGTTATTGTACCAGCACAAATGCCTTCTACTCCCAAATCACAGCAAGATATGAATAACCCTTAGTAGAAAGACTCCTTATTAGGTCACACAGAGTTATTATGGCTTAATAGCTGTCACCCTCCCAAACTAACCTGTGCAACAGGTGTAGAAAGTAAACTTAGAGGCTCACTTGGCAGCCCCACAAATAGGGCTTCACAGCTCTCACCCCCGTGCTCCCAATGGCCTCTGGTCCCCAGCATGTGAGCCCCTGCCCCTGTAGACCTAAGGAGAAGCCCTTCTCAGTTCAGCTCACCTGTTTGTAGGCATCGAGGAGGAAGCTCTTCCAGACGCAGCGCAGTCCCTCTGAGGTCAGCATGCGCCGCCACTCTCCGCGAGTGGACTTGGAGCGGCTCAACAGCAGCACCACGTGCTTGAGCAGAATGACCGAGTCATAGAGCGCCAGGAAGAGGCAGTTGGAGAAAAAAACTGGCAGAATTTGCAGTGTGATCAGCAAGTCTACGCTGAGGATGCCCATCTTCTCTGCCTCCTGAGTCAGTTCCCTTGTGCGCTCTGGTTCCCCTTCACCCTCTTATTTAAAAGGGGGGTGGTGATAAAGGGGGTGGGGGAGGTAAGGGGGAAGGTTGGGGGTTGGGGGAGAAGGGGGAAAAAAAACTAAATTAAAAGGAAGCCCAAGTTGTCTCCTCTTTCAAAGAAGCAGAAATGGCAAGACTAAGTCCAGTCTCTCCAGCCCGGCAGTTGGAGTGTGCCCATCAATTCATTCAATTCGGAGCTGCTGCTTTTTTTTTTTTTTTTTTTTTTTTTTTTTTTCAGGATTTAAGATGTTAAAAAAAAAAAAAAAAAAAACTGGCGTACTCGTCCCTAATCCAGTTACCCCTGTCAGAGTCCGTTAAAGACAGGCAGTTCTACTTTCATTTCCAAGCACCTATGAGACTGTGGCAGAGATTTTAAAATTTTCTTTAGCCTTTCATTGTCTCTATGATCTTTAAACGTAGCCTGTTTCTTTCTTGAATTGCCAGTTTTTTTGGTTTTTTTGTTTTTTTTTTTTAATGTGCTTTAAGGGTAGTTTTTTTTTTTTTTCTTTCTTTCTTTACTCCGTTTTACACACACTTTCTGTGCTTCTCTTTCTCCCAGTCTCACTTTCTTCCCCAGGAGCGACTGACTCCTCTTTTTTCTCACTCTCTGTCTTTCCCTTCTTGCTAGCTGTCTGTGGTGCAAAGTGCCTCTCTCTGCAGCCCAGTGAGTCTCCCTGACGCCTTTTATACATTCCCTGGCTAATTGCTGCAATAGAGAAATGAAAGCCTAATCTTGGTAAAGATCTTGACGTCATTGAGAAAGAGGGCTTTACTTTGGCCAGGACTGCAGTGAATAGAAAAGCAAAACTCGACAACTTTTTTTTTTTTTTTAGAAGGGGTGGGGGAGAGACAGTGGAATTTTGCTTTGTGATTTAAAGAGAGAGAAGAAAACTAATACCCTTGACAGCTTTCAGGAAATGCTTCCAAACTTTGGGAAAAGTAATTTAATATAATGTGCAGATTGATTTGGCCGACACTCTCTCTTCCGATTATCATTATCATTAATTTATGAGGGATTTTGGAAAGAAAGGATCCTGGAAGGCAGGTAGAAAAGACGAAGAGTTATCACAGGTGGTCTTTGCTCTGTTTCTTGGAAAATATGAATGTTTATATACAATCTTTACACCTTTATACCATGACTCCAATTCTTCGTAAGATCTGTGACCTAGGTCCTTTAAATTTTTTTGAGTCATTATCTTATTTAAGAAAATGCAAAGTGAGTTGTAGGTGGAAAACTTGTAAACTATTTCAGTACCATCATGGCATTTCTTTAAAGCTTCTTGCAGAAACTTAAATACAGGTTTCTTTTTAGTTTTACCCAAGCTTCTAATGAAAAAAAAAAAAAAATCCAAATTCCTCCAGACAGGGAAGGAACTAGGTGACATTCTTTTAGCTTCATTTTGCAGATAAAATTAAAACTTTCCATTGACTAGCATTAAGAAGCCAAAAGGCTGAGAAATTAATTATTTATGAAAGCTCTTTAAATTTGGTGTTTCACCTGCTTCTGTTAGCATAACCCCTAAGAGACCTGATACTTTAAAGAATCTTCCTTTTTGTTTGAAAAAAAATTTAATTAAATGTATAGGAGGTTAAGAGCAGACTGAATTGGCTCAAGGTGCCACCCTGACCATTTTTCAATGGCTTGCCTCTCCCATGAGTCTTTAGGATAGATACTTAGGCAGACAATGCTTTGGCAGAATGGCATGACCCCCATTTTATTCTACTTTTTCATCCTGTGTTACCTAACAGATCACCTCTAGGGATTATGTTTTCTTGGAAGAAGGTAAGGCAAGTACAGACTTCGGGATGGGGTGTAAAATTGTAATTGAAAATTAATTAGCTGAGTTTTCTATGTAGCCAGAGCTCTCATTAGGCATAAGCTAAGCAGTAGATGCAAGCTTGTGGTTAGTGTATTGTGTATTTTTTCCATGTGGCTAAAACCTTCATGATCACAGAAATAATTCAGAAGTCTAGACAAGAGTCATTAATTTGTGGTCCTGTGAGCTGAATTCTGCATATTGATGCATTTTGTTTGGTTGGCAGGTTGCTTTTTGCCTTTAAAAAATAATAATCAAAAGAGAATGCCTTTAGGTTCTGTGAGATCAGGGATTCTTGCCCACTTTGTTCACTGCTACCTCCCCAACACCTAGAACCATGCTTGGCGCACAGCTCAATGTGGATGTTCTGAATGAATGAATGAACAGGGCATGTAGAGGGCTTCTGCATTGCTCTACACTAGGGGGCACCATTCACATACAATAGGATGTGAATGGGGGGTGCCCTGGAATTGTAAAACGTGGTGGCCTTGTGCAATGCCCTCTCTTGTGACACAATTCTCAGCATTCCCTACAAATTATTTCATTTTTTTTCCTTAGTTTGGCTCCCGATGAGTTTTGAATTTGTATCTCATGGACAAAATTGTTAAATACTTCAAAGCTTAGAAAAATAATATAAACCATATAGAAAAATTATATTTTCCCTATGACTAGCGTACAATGTTAGCAAAAGAATATTACTAATATATACAATGTACATTTACTGCATGTATCTTCTCCAACTACTCAATGTCCCTATGGGAAAAAAGAAAGAAGAATGGCAGGGAGTTGACAACACGCTATTTTAACTGGTGGAGATACGAAAGCTATATTGCCATAGTTCCCACCAACAATGGCAGAATGCGTTGTAGACTCAGGAAATGCTGCTTCCACTCACTGCCCAAGCCTTAAAATCTCTCCCCTTCTCAGACCTTCATTCTACCTTGATTGAATTAAACCAGTGCTCCCCTGCAGTAGAGACTTCAGCAGCTTTAAACCAATTGTCTCTCACTCGCTTTAGCTCTGAAGGAGAAAAGTACGTTTGTGAATTGCAAGCTAAGGAGAGGGATTGATAGAAAATCAGAAAAACCTTTCTTTTAAATGCAAAGTTCAAAGCATATCCAGATTTTAAATGGTTATAAATTAGAATTAGGACTCTGTTGGGGGCTTTTGTTTCTTTTTATTTATTTATTGAGGTTAGATGTGTTTGAAGGGAATTTTTTTAAAAATACGAGAACAAAAAGATACACAGCCAATCTGATTATGTCATTTCTCAGATTTCTTCTGTCATTTTTCTAAACGAATAAATAAACAAATCACAAAACTGTGGGCCATTCCTCTAGCAGATAGACAATCTGTCCATCCAAGAAATTACATTTCTCCAAAGCTATTTCTTTTTTTATGCATGGTCCACAATTGCTTATTCCAGTTATTAAGAGTATTTATCATATTGATTTTCAAGTAATTTTATACTCATTAAGTAATAAAATAATCCTAAGGTGACAGAGTATGATTTTTCCCATCATATAGATGAGAGAAAGCAGATTACCAAAATTAGGGAGTCCCAGCTGGTGTTGGAATATTTTCCCTAACTCTAAATAAGCTTCACTTTTTTTCTTTAATGTCTGTTATGGGTCCTGGTCATTACTCTGAGAACTAAAACCCTTGTCGAAAGTGGTTTGCTAGTAATTTAATCTTCAAAATGGCAAAGGCTGTGAGGACTTCACATCTAAGACTGTCCAGACTGAGGCTCCTTGTTTAGATTTCATGTGTCCTTTCAAAGGGCTTGGATAGCTTCTTGGTCATATATGTGTTCTTAGCAGCTTGGATATCTTCTTGGTCACGTATGTGTTCTTAGAAATCAACATGCAATGAGTTAAATGCAAAGAAATGAGTGGCATGTTGGTTGCATTTCCCCGTATGATGTTGTACATGGGGTTTAAATTCCAAAGAGAAGCAGCCTCGGGCAAAATGCTTTGGGCTTTTTATGAAAAAACCTTTGCAAAATTGTTTTAACTTTTTTATATTCCCATAGTAAAAGAGCATCATGTCCTACTGTTGCCTCTTTCTGGTTGGAAAATAACAAGTATATGAGTCACTAGCTTTTCTTTAGTCCTCTTCTTGACTCTAAAATTGAGATTGAGAAAATAAAGTTGGATAATCTGAAAGCAGTCTTGGAAATTTTAAGCACAGCAGTTGCCACTACTATTTCCTCTTTATATTTGAAGGAGCAGAAGAGCATCCAGACAGTTCTGTGATTTTAACGGTTCATACCATGGACTTTCAAGCTGTCTTTGTTTTGTGGAATTTTATTCTTTCTAAATCAAGTGATTTGTCAAGTGCATAATAAAAAAAAAGGCATTTCATTTTTACTTTATTAAAAACTTGTCAAATAAATACATTATAAATCCAAAAATGTCTGGAAACAGCAGGTATGCTGATTTTGGATTTGAGATTATGGTTGCCATACACAACCCCTAAAACAGCGCTGCTCTTATCAGGGCAAGGAATCACAAACTGTAGAACCTTCTGCCTCTAGTGACTGTGCCTGACAGGGAGTTATGATAAAGGGCTTACACCACAACTACTGAATCACTCAAAATTCCCCGTGGGCCCATCCATTCTATAAACACAGCCGTGTTCTCTGCCTTGTGATGAAAGGAGAAGCTCAATGGATAAAATACACAGTCCCACAGTAAACTCTGACACACCTTGAGCAAAGCAACTTGGGGGCGGGAGGGCAGGCTGATGCCTTGGGAAGTCTGAGCATTGTCTCCCAGCAGCCCTCTCCGTAGGTTCCTCTCCAGTGCTGGCAGACAGCACCCATCTGAGGTGTTAATGCATTCTTCCCTCAGGAATTGTGGCTTCTCTTTAATTTTCCAGGCTACCTACTGGTAAGACAGAGGGGGGAAAGAAGACAAAGGAAATAAAAAGGAGAGAGAAAGCAAAAATGAAGAGAAAAAGGCAGATAAAGACAGTAGGAGAAAGGCAGGGAAAGAAAAGATTCAGTGAATTGCCAGTGGAGGCCACCAACAGAGAGCCAATTAATGCCAACTGTGGCAATCCTTTTTGTGAGGCAACAGCTGCCCAGTATCTGGATGAAAGCCACCACCGCATTTCACAGAGGCCACAGAACAGCTGTTAGGAGACAACAGTAGCCTTCACTGGCGATTGGCCT